TTTTTTTTTTTTTGTGAAACAAAACTGACAAAGGTTTACGATTATAAAATATAATTTTCCTCGATAACACATCCATCGAATCGAAACACTTGATGTACATTTTCGAAATTAATCGATAAAGATATCTCTTTGTAATATAGAAAATCTATCGTAATGGAGATAGAAAAAGAAATGCGCTTAGGATATCTCCGCGATGTAGGAGGAACGAATCCAAGTCTGAAAAATTAATTAAAATCGTCCGCCTCCGGGGTCCTTGCCGATCTATAAACCGAATGAAAAATTAATATTTCTTTCTTTCTTTATTGTGCGGCCACACACAGGTGAAATTTCGTATTAATTGAAACGCGGTGTTCGAAAAATAGAAAACGGGAATTTTCGTAGTTCTGTCAAACCCATGTGCATATTTTCTATAAGTTTGAACGCGATGGGAAATAAATAACGCGTAAAAATTCGATTTCAGTTTCGGTTTACATTGCTCGCAACACAAGTGTTGAATAATAATTAAGGGATGCAAAATATTTCCGTCTTTCGGCTTCGTCCTCGTTCGAAGAATTTTAAGAAACGCGCGCTTGTTATTTTCCTTCGTTTGATTATTTCCTTGACGTATTCTCTCTACATTTTTTTTTTTTTTTTTATTTCACTTTACTCCTTTCACTACTTTTTATCCTTCTCCCTCTCAATTATCGACTTTGCTCTCTCAGCTTGTTGTTTATATCTTCACGTAAATAATATAACGAATACGTATTACTCCACATTTCTTATTTCTTATTTTTCAAAATTATTTCGTACTATAATTATCCCTTTCGTTTTCATTTCTTCTCGATACTTTTAATCTATATTTTTTTCTTCTATTATTATTATTAATTTTTAAATAATAGGAAGGAGAATGACGATTCGACGATTAAAAAATTATTCTTCGAAGAGATTTTGATTGAACTTCGCATTATACCCAATTTTCGTAATTTCATTTCAGGATTGATAAATTCCGTTGCAAGTATAAGAAAAAAAAAAAAAAGTCGAATTAGCTACGCGATAAGAATAGAAATCTTTGAAACGAAACAATAATATCAGGAGTTAAAACTCCTCTCAATGGACTCGTGAAACGCGAGATTCCGCTCGTTTCCTCCGCGATCCGTCTTCCTGTAAGCACGAAGGAGCGCCGCTTCCCCTCCCCGCCCCTGCACCCTTTCTTTCACAGCTCTTTTCACGATCCACGCCTGGCGAGCACATCAAAGCGTTCGCCCCTCGGAATTTTCTCCTGCAAATTTTCCTCCCCGAATAGAGGAACCCATAGTAATTTCCGCGAGACCGATCTCGCCCCAGAAATAAATATATATATATATATAAGATCGAAATTTTGGATCTGATTCTCGTAAAGATATTAAATGACCCACAAAACAAATTACAAAATCGATAAATAAGGGAATAATCTTTAGGGAAGGAAACGATCGATTAACTGGTAAAAATACGCATAAAATTATTCTGTTAGCGTCAGTTCGAAAAAAAAAAAAAAGAAAGAAAGAAGAAATTTAAAGGAAAATGGAGGAGGAAAAAGTTGTAAAGTACAAGCTATAACAATAAAGAAAAGTTTATCAAAAACTTGCTTCGTTACCGAGTAAACACAACAATATATATAAATAATAAATTCTCTCTTTACCAACTGTATTTTATAAAAAAAAAAAAAAAAAAAAAAAAAAAAAAGAAAAAAAGAAGAAATTTAAAGGAAAATGGAGGCGGAAAAAGTTGTAAAGTACAAGCTCTAACAATAAAGAAAAGTTTATCAAAAACTTGCTTCGTTACCGAGTAAACACAACAATATATATATAAAAAATAAATTCTCTCTTTACAAACTGTATTTTATAAAAAAAAAAAAAAAAAAAAAAAGAAAAGAAACAAGTTCTATTTAAACGGATCCAGAAAAACACAAATCTCATAATTTTCTTGCGCGCATTACGTTGCAACGCATCGTATAGAAATATAACGCAAATATAAAAAAAAAAAGTGAAAAGAAAAAAACAAGAAAAAGAAGAAAAGAGCGCAAAAGCGTATACCGATAATGAAGCGGAAAATAAGAGAGAGAGGGGGAGGGAAAGAGGGAGAGAGAGAGAGAGAGAAGGCAGGTGTAAGTGGTGACGGCCGACTTGCAACGGCGTCGAGCATGTCAGAAACATGTTTGACTCTAACGATAGCCGCTGGGTTACCCGCTGATAAGGCCTGTCCTCGTTTATGCGGAAAATAAAGATAAGCCACGGTCGAGGGCGAACAGTTTGTGCAACAGTTCCATTAAAAGAAGCAAGAAAAACAACGTGGCCAAGAGGGGGTGGACGAGGAGCGGAGGGGATAATGGAATCGACGTGTATATGCACACAACATGCATAGAGCTGAAGGGGAAGGGGGATGACGTCGAGCTTTCGAGCATAATTTGCTGTTTACCCTGGGCGAAATAGAATTTTAACGAGCAAAAAGCTGGCGAGTGATTGATACCCCGGTACGAAGATCGTTTTCTTGGAATCAAAATGGTTTGTCGAGGAAAAGAGGGGGAATGGCAAAGAATGAATTTCCTCGAAGAACAAGAGTCTCGTTGATTATTCAACCTTCGTGTTTCGAAGTGGAAACTAGATGATTTAGGTTTATTACTCGTTTGCCTTGCGTATTCCATCAAAGGAATATTAAAAAAAATTTAATTATATATGTAGAAACGTTTTATGAACGTTTGAACATTTTTAGAGATTTTTTTAAATAAATTTTTCATTCACTTCACGTTGAATGTAATAGTTCAATAGTTATACTCGCGATACACTCGAACCCATCACTACCTACGAATTCAACGATAAAAATCGTATGCAAGACAATATAGAATCCCTTTTTCTTTTGTTTTTACGCATAAATTAGACTAAAAAAAATTCGAAGCAAATTGGAAAAGTAAATGTAAGAATGAATAAATTTAAAAAATAAATAAATAAATAAGCGATGTATTAAAATGATCGAGGAAAAACAAGGCGTTCTCGACGGAAAAATCGCCAGTTTCGCGATTCCTTTGTAAGAAGCGCGAGGAAAACGCTTGGCGCAACTCAGGACCAGGTGAAAAACTCTTTCTGGAAACTGTTTACGCGCCTTTGAGGAGCTGCAAATTGAAAGCGAAATAGGGTCGGATTTTCGTGCGTCGCGTGCCTCCATTTTTCTCCTCTGCCAGACACTTTAAGACCCCATCCACCCGCTGTGTTTGCGCGCCTCTGTGTGTGACGATGGTGTCTCGTACAATCTCTCGCTATTTTCACGACGTATAAACGACGTGGAATCAGTGTTTAAGTAAGTGAAATTGTTCCTATCCGTGGGGGAATTTTCCTCGCGAATTATCCGCCCTGGAAATGTCTGTTACGTGGAACTGTTTCTATTATGATTCCTTAGAGGAGATATTCTGTCGTGAGACGTGTTCGAATATTTCTCAGATTTTTATTTTCTCGATAAAAATTGTTCGAAACGGAGAGATTGAGAATTCCCGTAACCGAGAAAAATCACGAAGAAATCATGAATTCTACATTTGCAAGAAAGAATATTTAATAATTTAATAATTGGAAAAAGTACAGTTGATGAAATATGCAAAGTATCCCAAAAATATATTGATTAATTCTGAGATAATTTCGCAATGATCAATATTCTCCTTTGCAAAAACTTTCGGTATTTAAATAAAATTCGCCAATTACTTCAAAATATTTAGAATTTGGAAAAAAATTCTAGACCATGTAACATTAATCTACGAATTTTTGAAATAAGAATTATTTCAAACACAACAGAATTATTTTTCATGGACTACGTGTGTCCCTTGGTGGCCACCCTGATGATATACAAACACATTCGTCTACATCTCCCCCCTCCCCCATGGGAAGTGTCTCATTTTATAGCGCGAGTAACGTAAGAGGGCGATACGATTTTCCCTGTTAAAACTGTCAACCAAGGTTCTAATATTTGTCCAATACAAATTGTTTACCGACGATATTTCTTTCCTGTCAAAAATACGTACGTTTCAATTTTTATTCCTAACCTAAGTATTTCAATACTCCTGTAACCTATTTAAAACCATACGATTTTTATTAAAAAAAAAAAAAAAAGAATAAATTTTTAAATTCGAACAAAATTGACGAAAATGTTTTCTTACTAATCAAATTGATCTAACATCTTGCCTTTCGTCTATTTACTATCTTTAAATCAATTGGAACAATGTCGAGAAAACGTGAAATCGAGATACGTCGATTAATAAAGTTATTTGCGGTTTAAGAAAAAAGAAGCGGAATCAGGCCACGTGGACAAGCGGCGTGGAGGTATTGTAGCTTTATGGCTTACCATCATCAGGGACGCGCCCGCCCCTCGAGCGTACTGGAATTCCGGGACACTCACCTGTAAACAGAAAAAGAAAAGGGGACGATTAATATAAACGTTCGATTCTTTTCTCGATATTTATACGCTTTTATTACTTTATAAAGCATTTTTTAATAATCTCTGTATGTATTATAATTAAGAACGGGCAAAAATTATTACGAATAAAGTTACTTTGACAATTTATCGTTCAAAACGTAATAATAATAATAATTGGAAAGAATTGTAATGCCAAAGATTATACGAAAAACGGATCGAATTATATAATATCTACGAATAAATGTTGTTCAAGCATTTTAATAAGTTGATTATTTAAAATAACTTTATTCGAAATTTTTAACTAGTCATTTTTTTAAACGAGTTAATGCCCAACTATGCATATAGTATATTCACGATATGTGGAGTATGTTTGTGGAAAGTTAAATTTTTTACGACAGTGCACAGAATGCAGTATAGTCATTGACGGGGAAAATTTAATAAGTTATGAATAATGAAGTTACTTCGATAATTTATAATATAAATAATTTATGAGTTCAAAACGTAATAATAATAATTGGAAAGAATCATAATGCCAAAGATCTACGAATAAATGTTGTTCAAGCATTTTAATGAGTTAATTACTTAAAGTATTATTCGAAATTTAACTAGTTACTTTTTCAATTTTAGGGTTATTAAGATTCAATTCTGGTTAGAGAGGAATAGTTTCAACGAATAGACAGCAGAGGGCGCAGTGATCGCACGACGTAAAAATAGTTTTCTTTTTATTCCCCATACATTTTACTTTCTCCAATTATCTTTTCATTTATAGTGGAAAAAAAAAAAAAAGAAAAAAACATAGAATACTTTAATCGTTAAGTGTAATCGTGCATATACTATACATAATTGCGTGTGCCTTATCGTTTATTCCGTTCTTCAATAATGCAACGCGATAATTTATTCCGTTTATTCCCATTTAGAGAAAACAATAAAAGAAACGGAGGGGTGGGGAGGATTATCGACGACAGATTAAAATCTAATTTTATGGATCGTCGAGATAGAAATAGACTTCCACTTTCTTCAAAAAAAAAAAAAAAGAAAAATATACGCGCGAAAGGAAAAAGGAAGGAGGATAAAAACAGGTTAGAAAGAATATATTAGAAGAAAATCGGCATCAAACTATAGTCAATATTGTCTGTTTACGAACCAGGGACCATTTTCTTGCCATGATCGAGGGAGTGAGGGGGGAGAGGGGAGGACGGTGCAAGTAGTAACGGTCGACGCATCGTCAGACGCCGGAAATTAATCCAGGGGAACGCGTTTACATGGTCGGGGCGCTCATTCTGCGAGTGAATGCCGCGTCAGTCGATCAATTTCGCCAAGATATCCCGTGGTCTATTTAACCGAGCAACAACAAAAGCCAGGCGAGAACAACAGGGATGGGAACAGAGAGAATTCACCAAGAATGCCTCGAGACATCACGATTGAAAAATTATGTCGATGCCAGATTACGTTGGACGATATTTTAAATACGTTTTTCTTTCTTTCTTTCTTTCTTTCTTTCGTTCTATGTTTATTGGAAAAAAAAAGGATATTATTGTATTCATCGACATCGACATTTATATATGTATCTTAAATACATATATATATATTTTTACTTTTAAATGAATGGAAGTTTACGAAGAGAGAAATGGAAAATAAATTAAATATTGAAATTGAAAAAAAAAAAAAAAAATTATGAAGGTATTGAAAACGTGATATCCATGAGAGGATTTAAAAATATCCAAATTTTTTTATTTGCAAAAAAGGAACGAGAGATATTCGCGGCACTGCGAAGAATCTGAAAATATTCAAGACTTGCAAGAAGAACTCGAATATAAAGATATAGATATCTAATATGTGCAAAGAGTCTAAAAATATTCAATATCCAGGGAATATATCGCAAAAAATATACTCGAAGAATATTGGAAAACTATGAAGCAGATACTATAATATTTCCAAAAAAAAAAAAAGAAAATTCCAAAAAATATCGGATATTCGACAAAAAATTTTATAAAATACGAAACTCCAATAATTCGAACATCTGGGGGAAAAAAATTACGAAATACTCCATGTACGAAAAAGATCTATCAAACCTTTTGGAAAAGTACATGGAAAAGTACGAGATATCTAATATTCGTGGAAAAAAATTCCAAAACAATATTTAATCCTAAAATATCAGAAAGAATTGCAAATGACAGAAACTTTGATACTCGATATTAATAATTTAAAAGAAAAAGAAGAAAAAAAAAAAAGATATCGAGAAAGGATCTTGCAAATCTGTCAAAGGGCGTGAAAAAAAAATTATAAAATTTCCTAGTATTTGTGAACAAATCTGATAATATTCGAACACCCACGACGGTCTACACGCGTAGCTTGGATTCGCCTCCGCTTAAGAACAGAAAGGGGCGGTTCCATCGCTTCATCCCCGTGGAAATGCAACTTCTTTTGAAAAGCGAATCCGCACGAGGCTCGCCTCGTCACGCCACGTCCAATTTGTGCGTGCGTTTTGAAGAGCTGTCACGCGCGACCTGCTTTTCCAGGAAAATTCGCTTATTAGCATCGTTCCCTATTCCCGGATATAATATTAAAATTTTAACCACCAACCTCGAGCTCCTCTCTTATTGGTTGTTTCGATGCTACTACAATTCTTTTTTTTTTTAATTTTTTTTCATTACCCTTTTTTCTCGAAAGAATCTAATATTCGCGAGAATGGCATACTCGTGGAGAAAGAATTAATCGAATAGTGGATTATTGTTGGAAATATAATAGGATGAGTAATAAGTGATATTATTACACGTTTCTTAAATTATTTATTAGAGAGGATTATTAAATTACTAAAAATCTGTTCAATAGGAATCGAATAATGTTCGACGATTTTTAAAAAATAATTTCTTTTTTTTAGCAAAATTATAGTAACCCTTAAGTCTAATATAAAACTCTTAATTTTTAAAAATTCTACACAAGTTCAAGATTGAGATCTTTTTCTTTATTATCAAATGTTCCACGCTAATACAATAATCGAGAACGAGCAAGAAATAAAATCTGTTAAAAAATTCATAACCTCCAAATATATATTTTTAATTTCAGACTAACTTTCGAAATAGCAAAGTAACATTTAATGCTACAAGCACAAGCGACGACGTCTCTTTAGATTCAGCATACGTAGGAAAAAAATAATTATTAAATCCCTTGAAGCTGTATACATTTTCGTTAGAAAGAGATTCTTCAACTGCATAAATGCAAAGCGCGGGAAAGATTTCCTCTCGGAAAGACTAAGATTCTCTTTAAAACATTCCTCCATTAACATATTTCTCTATTTGCAATGTAAAAAGAAAAGAGAAAGAAAAAAGGGGAGAGGGGAGGAGGTTTTCTCGGCCACGTGGGCCGTTTTAAATACACGGCTCCATGGATCCAAGGAAAGGGAAAAATCCTCCATCGAGATTTATCCTGTCGTCGAGAATTATCTTCTCGAAAGGATGGAAGGAAAAATTTCCAAGAATTCCATCGATTCTGGTAATTCTGGCGATCGGGCTAAGGTTACACTAAATTGAGCCGCGTTTTTTTCACGGTTCGAAAGCCGTGAAAAAATCGATAGCTTGTTGTTTGCAACAAGCGAGCGCGTATATTTTTCCCCTCCTCCTCGCTCATTCATTTCGTATCGTTTTTAATGTGAAAGTGAAGATTATAGAAATCGTAGAATTCGATATTTTCAACTCGTGATTAGATAGTGAAATCGATTTATTAATGGAGGATGGCAAAAGTGCATTTGGATCATTGATCATTGATCGATACGATATATTTTTAATTATAACAGATAGATGATAACGTAAAATTTAATAACGTAAAATTCGTGAATTTCATTGTCATCACTTTCATTTTTTATCTTTCAAAATAAATCATTCAAATAAAAGTGCTTTTATTGAACAATTAAATTGGTTCAATGACAATGTATATTCTTTGAAACAACTTTGAAATAATGGTTTTAATTTTTAGAATTGTATTTAACGTTATAGAAGCATCTTCTTTTAAAGAAACCTCTTAAAAGTCTGATAAAAAATAATTGCTAATAACTTGGAATAACATCACTTCCACCATCCTTTCACTGCCTGTAAAAATTTCCATTATTTGAAGAGTGGCAGAGAATAACACGGTTAATGAATTACAACAGGATAGAGAATTTTTCTGTTAATCCCTATTTATCTAGCTCCTCCAATGATCGTTTTCTATTCCCAAAATATAAAGTAAATTTTACTTTTACCACGAATTCGAAACTTTCTTCGAAGTCAATTAAAATATAAATTCTCGTGAGATAAAAAATAAAGAGAAAGGGAGAAGTACACGCGTTCATTCACGGCATCGTGAGTTATAATAAGGATAAAAGCATAAGAATTTTAATCATCGCGTGTTGCGATATAATTGGTAACTAACGATTTGTCGTGATATTTTTTTTCGTGACACGTCATCCTGTAACACGTAACTATATATTCACTACTTGGTCACGCTTAACTGTTTCAATCCGCCGAAACTTTTCATTGCTCGTAAACTAACTTTAAAATAATCTTCAAAAGAGACGTAGTTAAATTTACGATGCATAATTAATCGAGTCGAATCCACAAGGAACCAACGAGAGAGTCGAGGAAAA